AAACGGCAGGTGCTTCTTCTCTGCAGCAGCCTCTGGAGAAGGAATCATGCAGTTCGTTCAGAATCACTGTCACTATGAGCTATGCGAGAGCAGAACATGTTGACATTGGTACTTTGTTCCTTTTACAGTGGAATTTTAGACAATGCTGGGAGTTATAACTGATAAGGATGCAAAGTCTAATCTGTAATATGAAACTGCTCAATGAAATATATAGCAATTTTCCTCAAAGTGTATTCAGTTCAGTTGTAAAGAACTGACTTGGAATCCAAAAATACAACAAATAAAATATAACTTAGAGACTGAAGGCACAGACATGAAACCAAACCACAGAATCACAACATGTCACCTTCTTATATTTGCAAAGGTTCTGTCAAATCCCCTCACCTTCTTCTGCGCTCAGGTTCAGACGCCTGTTGATGGCATTTTCACTCTGGAGAGAGAGAAATTTACAAATTTATCAAAGTTTAGTTGTTTTTTTTTTTATTTAACCTGAGATGGTATTCACTTATATAACTGAATATGAGACAGCAAAGCACAATGTGCTTGTCTGTAAAGGTCAGATAAACACCAATGCACCTTTATTAGTTTAAGATTGCATAAGTGCACAGACAGAAACGGGCACAGATAAATAGCAAAAACAAAATATACACAGCTGGGTGACAGATGAAAGGACAGACTATCACCCAGAGACCAGCAGCTCCTTGTCAGGGCTGTTTCTCCAGAGCAGCATCAGAGGAAACTTCCTCCTTCCAGACCAGATTGCCTCACTGTGTGCAACCCACTGTGTCGCCCTTGTGACATAAAGATCTGAGTCTCTGCCCTGTGCCTTCTTGAAGAGGCCATGGGTGTTGTGTGTCTAGCGCATGATTTTTTAATTCATGTTTGTACCCATCATGCCTCCAGCCACATCTTACATCATTCAGTTTTCCTGATCCACGCTACAATTTTTTTGACACATTTGGGAGAATGTTGTCCAAAAGCTTTCAGATGTTAAAAACATCATTTGGACAGTGTTTGTACTCAGAGAGCTCAGTGTTCTTGGCACAGGAGTGTAAATGAATGACAGAAGGTGAAAAGGTGAACATGTGGTGGTTTTCATGAAGCATACACAGTCTGGCTAAACATCATGGTGCATCATCTCCAGAACTGCTGGGAGGATGGGTGGTGCAATGATTAGCAAATATTTTAACCGACCTCCTGCCACAAGTAAACAGGGTTATACACTGGGATCTGGCCTGCAACAACTCCCTACTTTATTGCATAAATTAAGATAAATTAAATTTATCATCTGTTTAGCTGCCACCACAGACTGAGCTCATTACGGGGCCTCCTCCCAGTGGGAGGAGGCCCTGGGAAAGACCCAGGACACGCTGGAGGGACTATGTCTCTCAGCTGGCCTGGGCACACCTCGGCATTACCCCGGAGTTTTTCGGAGGAGCTGGAGGAAGTGTCTGGAGAGAGGGAAGTCTGGGCATCTTTGCTTAGACTGCTGCCCCCACTTCCCGGTCCCGTATAAGCGGAGGAAAATGGATGGATGGATGGATGGATGGATGGAAAGCATGACTAGCAAAGCTATACTTCACTCTAACAGAAAGCCTCAAAGACTTCAACAGCCAAAAGGAAATTTTATAGGGGAAAACCAGGGATGAGTGTAACAGCAACAGGAAAAATAAAGAGTCTGGAAACCAACTGTGGTCATGTTTTCCACTGCACTCTGCCAGTCATGATAGACCTGATGTTAAGCTGCGTTATCATAGGATCCAGCATGTCTGGAGCTCGATCTGTAACTAAACATCAGGATATCTAAGCATCTATTACTGTCTCTTATGTTTGCAAACTTTAAGGAACTGCAGTAACATATCACTGGTGTAGAACAGGAGCTCCATGACATTAGGTCAGGTATAAAAAGTGATAGGTGAAGATAAGAAAAACAACTCCTTGTTGTTAATTGGCAACACAGCGTACTACCATGGGTGCACACTTCTTTGGCTGGGTCTCTTTAGGGTTAAAACAGGTCGATCCTCTCAGTATTAAGAGACTGATGTAACGTCTGAGTTAATAATGAGCTCAGTCTGTGGTGGCAGCTAAACAAGAACTGACCTGGATGAACACTCACCTTGTGCCTCACATAGATGGAACAAAAACCTCGACTTTAGATTTGCCCTTGTTAAGCTGGTACAAGCACAATCAATCATTCATGTGGTCAGTGCATTAAATAAATGAAGAAGTCAGTGGGGCTATGTTTGGTGGTGAAGGGCAAAGAAACCCTGACTATACAGTTAAAAGGTCACTGTGTGTATGAGCCAAATATAACTCACTTTTGTTTTGCTGCTCATGTTTAAATGAAGATGTTTTAAAGCATCATGACATCACTGACTGCCCACTGTGTTGGCCCTTTAACATTTTCCAGAACAGTGGACTCTCTGTCTCTGTGCTCTGTTCCACCTGCTTTCACTTAGAAACCAACCAGCACAACTAGTGCTTTTGTTGGCCAGACACACTACCTCTCCCACACTTGTTTTGTACTGTGATCGGGGCATGGCTGTACAGCATTCTGGAAACAGGAAGTGGCCACAGACTAAGTACATACAGTATGTGCTGGTACTGGTAATCCTTAGTGTGAGAAATGTGTCTGCCACACCTGACAGCTGCCATTACTAATTACAGAGGTTGTGAGCTTTTATTAATTACTGTATAAGAAGTAATTTTGGCAGTGGACTATGGAAAAACATTGATACATCTTTGACTTATCACTGAACATATTTACATTGTGTTTGAGTGCAGTTTTTGTTCTATCATAGGGGTTTTAACAGGTAATTGATGTTTATTCAGTGTTTTAAAATCCCACCAACTTTTCTTCTTCTACTCATGATTATTTGTGTTGCTTGCTGTGGTAGGATTAGTTGTGCTTTTCCCTAC